ATATATATATATATATATATATATATATATATATATATATATATCCTGCTCAGTCTGTAGACTGCTACCTGTAGCTATGTTTTCAGGGCTGTTTGGCACTAGGCACCCAATTGGTGTTAGAGAACAACTTCCTTGGGGAAGGTCAGCTCTCCCACTCCCATCTCTCCTGAGTTGCCTACAGTTCTTTTTGTAGAACTTTTTTCTTTTTTCTTTTCTTTTCATTCACTTTTCCTCATCTACACCGGTATTGTCCTTGTTCAATCCATGTTTGGGAAACTGTGTTGGTGAAACTTAATGAGTGAAGCTTCTCGCATTACTACATGACATAGTCTCCCAGAAAACTCTGCGACCCTCCAGCTCTTACTATCTTCCTGCCCTTTCTTCCTCAATGTTCCCCTAGACTTAGGAGTTGGAGTTCAACCGTTATTTTTTAACCTCCTGCAATGTGTCTGATCTAGACACTGTCTCTCCCTTCCCAAATGAAGAACATTTTCCTCTCTAAACCAGATAATGCTGATTGATTGATTTAGGTTAATTGGCCACTGAAATAATAGAGAAAATTCAGTTATAAAAATAATCAAGTGAATCTATACGTTTGAAAATTAAACACATCTCTATCAACTTAGATATCAGGCATGTTTTCCTCTTACTTGACAAAATTTTTATATTCCAAACATGGATTATGACTCATTTCATGTAAGAAAAGGTTAGACATAAATGAAGTGAAGAATGGTTTGTAAAATAAACCTATGTAGCTATTGTACTTTTGAGAGGACAGTAGAAAATGTCATTGCTCTGACTCCATCAGTTTCATGTCTGTGTGGCACAATCCTTGGCTTCCAATATATTTATAAAGTGATTTTAAATCAGGAAAATTTACATAAAAAGAAAACTTTACAATTGCGTCTTCAATTATTTGTCACAAGCAATTTCTTAAAAAGGCTCCAAGGCAAAGGGATGTTGTGGATATAAGCATGTTTTTGTTTTAATCCCAGGTGTGGGGTGTGGGACTGATTCAGAGAGTCTAGCAGCAAACTATTTGCCTCATGTGGGCTCTGAGAGGAGCTCTTTGCCAGTTGCTGATAGTTTAAATCTGAGGACTCGGTGGAAAGAATAAATGCCAGAGCCCAAAGAGTATGGTGCAGCTCTGAGAAAGAACAAGGCTGCTGTAGCTGCTTCCCTTCTGGGGCTCCTGTCGCTGTTGATGCAGTGAGACAAGAAGTTGGAGATCTCCTGAAATGAGGACTGGACTGGCTCCAAGGAACCTGACAACCCTAACCAGCAGAAAGCAGCTAAGAGAACTGAGCCTCCTCTCCAACTAACTTTTTCTCTCCTACCTGGTGGTGGGGTGTTGGAAAGGATTGGGAGGGAGTAAGGAGAAAGAAATATAAATAAAAGAGTGTTTTAAAAGTATGCCAACACAGGAGCATCTGAAAAGCAGTAGTGTGTTTCTGCTCTGTGGGGAGCAAGCACATCAAGTGTGTGGATGTTCTTAAAACTCCAAGGACAGTTGTTAACTCAAAAGTAATTGTGTGATGATTTCTTAATCGAAATGGCAGGTTGTATAAACATGTATTCCTTCTACCCAATTGCTAATAAAGTAGTAACAAATGTACAAAGCCACGACAATCATGAAAAAAATGAGGGTTGCCAGAGTAAAGGTGAAGTCACAATAAAGTTCTTGATAAGCAGACCTGAAATTTAATGACAATTTCGAAGACAACACAGGAAGCCACCGAGGATGCCTAGAGAAGCCGTAAAGAACAGTTTCCTTCAGCAGCATCCTGAGGAAACTGAGGATCTCTTAGGGTGTCTCTTCAGTACATATGGTTACAAATGGTCACTATCTGGAGATCAGCTACACCAGAATCAGTGTCCTCCAACAGACATGATGAACAGAATTTCTATGCAGAAGGTGTTCCTTCGCATTGTGTATCAACCCACCTGCTACAAATGCTCACTTTCCTGTCTAAAGAAATTGGGGAGGGGCTAGAAAGATGGCTCAACAATTCAGATCACTCACTGCTCCTGGGACCAGAGTTCAGTTCATAGCACCTACATCGGGCAGCTTACAGCTATGTGCAGCTCCAGCTCCGGGATATCTTCTGGTCTCTTCAGGCAAATGAACTCATGTGCCCAGACCCACACAAAGACATACATGCATACACATAGTCAAAAATAATAAGGTGGCTAGAGAGGTGGCTCAGTGATTGAGAGCACTTGCTGCTCTTGCAAAGGACCTGAGTTCGGTTCCCAGCAGCCATCTGGAAGTTCACAACCATTTCTAACTCCAATTCCAGAGGATCCAATAACTAGTGCTCTCTCTGCTCTCCACAGACACATGGCACACACATGGTAAACATACATACATGCAGGCAAACATTCATACACATAAAATAAATAAATCTTTCAAATACATAAATAAAAACTCTTTCAGAAAAAGTCTTTGTATACACAGTGGAGTTTTCTATGGGAGTCAGAGGAGGGCATCAGATGCCCTGAAGCA